CATCCAGAGTCACCCCATCCTATGACATCACACTGACCTCATTGTCTGCACATCGAATATGAAATAAACACACCTGACAGAAAAATGGGATTTGTGATCCAGGAGGCCAAATGGGAAGAGGTTCCTGGACCGCAAGAATCATAGAGAACACTAAACATTCCGATTCCATGTGTTCCCGCTGGAGGTCATAGTCCTTGGTACATCCCGCCCTCCATGTCACCTCCCGATCTCCTCCTCCTATTATTGTACAATCCGGATCATTCTCTGATATCAATGTTATCTGTCCACAGGGAGACCTCCATAGAGGACTGCACCAATGATGGAGGAGGACCGGAGTCACATGACCGAGAGGATACTAAACCTCACCCTGGAGATCATCTACCTGCTGACCGGAGAGGTGAGGAGGATTCTGGGAGGTCACATGACCTGACCGGAGAGGTGAGGAGGATTCTGGGACTCTAACATGATGTCCTTATTGGTTTCTCCATCCAGAGTTTTCCTCTTCATCCACCATAATCAGGTAGGTGATGGATCATCACTGGGGGTGTCTTTGGGGTCTCTTCATTGTCACATGTGATGTCATTGTCTTCTATATTCAGAATGGGAACCTGAGTGATGACGTTGTTGTTAAAGAAGAGATAAAAGAAGAGGAGCTTGGTGTGACGGAGGAGCTTTCTGAAGGACGCAAGGACGCCTTCAATGACGGCATGGTGGAACAATTCAGTGACACAAACCCACCCGACAGATGTCCCCGTCCTCTGTATTCCCGGGACCCCACAAAGGAAGATCACAACTATGTACAACATGATCAGGTAGGTGATGGACCATCACTGGGGGTGTCTTTGGGGTCTCTACATTGTCACCTCTGATGTCATTGTCTTCTATATTCAGAATGGGAACCTGAGTGATGACATCAATGTTAAAGAAGAGATAAAAGAAGAGGAGGCGGAGCATGGTGTGATGGAGGAGAACCCACCAGAGAGATGTCCTCCGTACTCCCGGGACCCCACCCAGGAAGATCTCCCCATCCCCCGCCAGGATCAGGTAGATGATGGATCATTATTGGTGGAGATGAGTTATACGCAGTCGTGTCGGTTACAATGAACGTTTCTTCTATTCTCAGAGCGGAGACCTCGGGGATTATAATATTGTTGTGAAAGAAGAATATAAAGAGGAGGATGAGGAGTACGGGGTGATGGGGGAACCTTCTGAAGGACACAAAGAGCCTCCTAATAACATTCACCCACCAGAGAGATGTCCTCTGTATTCCCGGGACTCCACCCAGGAAGATCTCACCATCCCCCACCATGATCAGGTGGGTGGAGTTGAGGGGCGGGAACGCTCTGACATGTGGAGATGATGTGTGGACTCTACAAGACGAGATATTCTATGTCATCTCACATCCATAAATACTTCTATTTCCTCAGACGTCTTCCAGGACAGCCTCTGCGATGTATAGGCTCCTCCCACCAGACAGGAAAACGCATCACCAATTTCACAATATAAGGCCGCCTCCTCCAGTATTTGGTGTTTTGCTCTGGCGGAGGCGGCACATCACCTTTTTAACAGGATTGATGTATTTGGTCACGGAATCCTCTCCTCGGTACCGGGAGGAGGAGGTCCGGTCTTATCCCCTTCAGTGCCTAGAGAAGGCCAGTACCGGGGTTAAAGTTCTCC